GGAATTCCTCTGTCATATTTTTGTGTCAGCGAAAATATACTATTGACATAGTTGCGGAAGCTGGCTTACTTGGTGGCAAGCCTGCTGATTTTCCTATGGAGCAAAATCACCAGCTTCCATTGGCTGATGGTCCGTTGTTCTCTGATCCTGAGCGATATCGGCGGCTAGACGGCCGCTTGATTTATTTAGCTGTCACTCGTCCTGACTTGTCTCATGCTGTGCATATGCTCTCTCAGTTTATGCATCAGCCTCGTCAGGCACACTGGTATGCTGCCATTCGTGTGGTACTTTATTTGAAGGGTACTCTGGGCCAGGGTATTCTTCTTCGGTCTGATTATGACTTACAGATCTATGGTTGGTGTGACTCCGATTAGGCAACATGCCCTACTACTCGACGGTCTCTCACTGATTGGTTCGTCCAACTTGTCCATTCTCCAATATCATGGCGTACTAAAAAGCATCACACAGTTGCTCGCTCTTCTGCCGAGGCTGAGTATCGTGCTATGGCGACGCTCACTTGCGAGTTGAAATGGTTACGGGGTTTACTACGCAGTCTTGGTGTGGCTCATTTTCAGCCGATGTGGATTCATTGTAATAGTCAAGCGGCGCTACACATTGCCATTAATTCTGTCTTTCATGAGCGCACCAAGCACATTGAAGTTGACTGTCATTTTCTTCGTGATGCTCTTGTTCAAGGTCTCATTTATGCCGTTCATGTTTCCACTCATTCTCAATTGGCGGACATCTTCACCAAGGCCTTGGGAAAACGCGAGTTAGATTTTTTTCTTGGCAAGTTGGGCATCCGGAATCTGCATGCTCCAACTTGAGGGAGGGTGTTAGAATGATTTTGTGAATATTGTATTTTTGGTATAGATAGATTTTTAGTATCTTAGATATTTGGTGTATATTATTTTAGGTCTTCATTTGTATCTATATATTGTGGCTCTGGTTCATCTATGAAAAACAAGGTTTTGGGTGAATGAATTGATCTTCACACATTTGTCAGTCCGAGAGGTACAACCTCCATCAAGGAGTCACCCGCACACACAAAAGCTCACCTCCATAAGGAGACTAGAACTCCATAAAGGAGACTGGAAGCCAGACGAAGTTGGACTTTACCGAACTAAAACAACTAAAAAGATAAAAACGCACACCTAATATACACAACTAGAGTAAAATCTCCCCTAACCGAACAAATAAACCACATAACCACCTAAACGGACAACCGAGAACACCTACTATACTAAACCCCAAGCGAATAACAAATCTTGACTCCAAACTCAAAAACTGCGGATACTCAAACCGCTTAGACGAATCATTTTTTAACCCAATAAATTCCGCCACCTAAAGAATCGCTACTTTACAATTTACTAACTTATTAAAAATAATATTATAAATCACGTAATATGTGATTTTTTTTTTCTAGAAAATAGAAATTATATCTCATTCTTCATGCAATCGTGACACATAACTTTGATATATTAAAAATTCTATAATTGATTGTTTAGGTTAGAAAAAATAAGATCAATGTAAATTTATTTATTTCAACTGATGAGATACTGAATCATGCATGATAATAATTTAATAAACATTTCGAGATCGTGACAATATTTGATTTCTAAGAATGTTTCTATAATTGGTAACTTTTGGGTGGTGGTAATTAAATCCATTATATATATATTCATTTAATTAATTTAATCTGAAGAAAAAAACATAGACCTGTGTCAATATTATACCGGATTGCACCTGATTAAAATTGTATTAGTTAAGTAAAAAAAATTAACACGACACACTAATTAATAAAAAAAGGCAATGAATTAAAAAATTACAGATTAAGTCACAAATTATATTCTTTCCCCATAGGTAAAAGACAACTAATTTGGTGGGTGTCTTTTTTTTAAATTTTTTTTAGTTTTTATATTTTAATTTAAAAAATTTAAAAAAAAATTAAAAATAGTATTGACTGGTCAATCATATCAGGGATTAATGTCTTTTGTTGGTTGTCAATCTTGTTTATAAAAATAATAATAACTAAAGTTAACGGATTAAAATCATTTCAAATCCCATAGCAATCAAATTTATTCTCCTCGTATCATAGGATATAATAGACAATTAAGTCTATATAAGACCAAAAAAAAATATAAAATTAACTTTGTATTATAATTCGTTATTTTTTATTATGCAAAAATTTTCAAAGCATGTGTTAATTTGCCTATATTCAAAGCCTCTCGAGTTCATTGTCTCCTTAATTAATTTGTTAAAAATACCAATTCTACTCGTGACACATAACTTTGATATTTAATATCAATATATATTGTTAATATATTATATTCTATATTATGTAAGTTCATGTGTCAATTTATGAAATATAAAATATAATCGTACTTATTTTTATAAAATATAAAATAATTGTACTTATACTTTTATAAAGAAAATTTTTAATATTCTATCAATCTTAAATTGAAGGTAATAAAATTAGCATTTATGTATTATATAAAATTATTTATTAATTATTTTATACTATTATATGAGTTGTATAAATAATCGTAATATCAGGCGAGCTAGTCTTATAGGTGATGAGTTTTATTCCCAAATAAAATAAAACAAAAAGTAATTATCAATCGCTGATGATGATTAATTGATGATAATGCAAAACTAAATAAAGAAAAGCGAAGCTGAATGCGCCGAGCCGGATAAGCCGGGAGAGAGGCTTGGCGTTCAAGCCTGTCCGTGTATTGGGAATAACGTAAAAAAGCTTTCGGTGATTGATTTGCAGTCAATCCTATCTGTTAATATTATTTTTTATTTTCTTCATAAATATAAAACTAATAAAAGAATACGTTCGTTATCATACGTCATCCTATCGTCATGCTTATATTTCGAAATCATGGTGCTTGGCTCTAGACGTGACCAGGTGCCGTGCCAAGGCCCGGCCAGGCCCGCCGGGCGATGGACCCTCCAACACATGGACCGCGATCGGCCTGCTAAGAACCAAGGGCCAGTTCATAGAACTGGCCCGAACCGTCGGTTCACCGGCCCGACGGTTCGCAGGCCAGTACGGCTAGTGCTGTTAAATTAAACGAGCCTTGCTCGTCTCGGCTCGTTAAGGTTCGGTTCGGCTCGAGTTCGAAGCCTTAACGAGCCGAGCTCGAGCTCATTTAAAGCTCGTTTGGTTAACGAGCCGAGCTCAGCTTGACTCGATAAGGTTCGAAAAGTGAAATTTATATCATTTTTTATAGATCGGCTCGTTAAGGCTCGAGCTCGAGGCCTTAACGAGCCGAGCTCGAGCTCAATTTTTGGCTCGTTTACTTAACGAGCCGAGCTCGAGCTCGAGCTCAAACACCTTAAGCTCGAGCTCGGCTCGACTCGTTTACAGCCCTAAGTACGGCCCTTAAGAAAAACAAAGAATTTGGCCCAACTCAGCCCGGCCCGGCCCGGCGGGACAAAAAAAAAGAAAAATGGAATCAGGACCGAAACCGCGGCCCTACGGTTTCGGTTCAATGAACCGGCCCTTAGGAGGCCAGTTTCGGGCTGTTCGGGCCGGGGCGGTACCGGTTCGTGGGTCGGGCCACGGGCCAGTTCGGCCCGTGGCCATGTCTAATTGGCTCTCTATTATCCAAGGTCCGAGCTATAGTTAATTTTGCCTATTCATTAAGATTAAATTACGAAAACTCAATTTAAAGGTTTTAAACTTAAATTTGCTTAGTATTTAACATATTTAAGGTCTAAATATGTGTTTTCAATTAACTGATAGTTCTAAATTTATTAATGATTAAACTAAAGGTTTAGTAGAAAAACAATTAGTATTTTCTAACTGGTTAAGCTACTAATTCTATTTAATTATCTAATTAAGCCTTAATACATTACTACCTTGATTACGTGTTTGTAAATTATATTGCTCTATTCTTTTTTTAAAAAAAAAAAAAAAAAAGTGATGTCTTAATAATAATAAGATTCTCTGGGTCCCACACGGTAATAAGATGGATAACAATGAGAAGCGGGAAAAGGGAACACCACATGGGACCTGGGGCCCTTCACAAATTAGGATTAGATTTTTAATAAAAGATTTATTATCATTTTCCTATCCTTAATCAATTTTAGGGGAATTTTTTTTGGCAACCTAAAATGCACGACCTAATTAAGCATGAAGTCTTACATTGAATTTGTTAAACTTATTTAAAAGCGTTGGCTGATGATTTATAACTAATTTTTGAATTTATAACTTCTAATTTTTTACTGCAAAAAATTATCTGATATTGATGTACCATGAACAAATCACCGATCTCGAGCTTCGATGACACGTAATGTGCCGGGAATGAGTCCCGGTGGAAAACCTCCTACAACAAAGTCGATATGTGCTCAAGAAGATAAAACAAGTAAAGTTGTTAAGTGTAAGAAATGTAAGAGGATGGTGTAATAGTGTGTCCTTCTTCTTATATGAAATGTCATTTAAAGTTCATATGTCATTTTATTTGTCCCAAACACAAATAAATGAGATATAATACTAAATTTCGTAAACTAAAATATCGTATAAGTGAAAATCAATGAATATCTAAACAACTTGTGAAATCTATAAATTTACTTACACTAAGGAGTAAGGACTAACACGAACTTTAACCCCCATAATCCGACATAAAAAACAAAGGTTAAAATCAATCACCGGTTTAAACCACGGATTAATATCCGTACATGTGAGCCGGCCACGTGTCCCAACGCACGCGGTTCCATCTTTTTTTCCCACCACCGCCCTATTTATTCACCCCCTTCACTCCTCCCTTCCCCAATACTCACTCCTCCCCTTTTTATCTCTACTTTCTCTCTCTTACCTCAAATACACTCACAGTCCTCCATTAATGTCCACTCAAATTTTGCTTAGCTCTGTTGTTCATGGCTTAATTTTGTGAGTTGTTATTTGCTAGCTGTGCCTTTTATTTTCGAATATATTATATAGGGGTATTTTTGGTAATATTCAAACCATTCAGAGCTCTCTGATCGGAAAAATGGCGTCCTCCGACAACTTGATGACGATGGAGCAGCCGTGGGGTTTCCGGCCGACATTCACCGACGCCTGGATTTCGGATATCTACGCCAGGGAGGCGGACACCCTGACGAAGGCTCTTCAGATGTCCTTTGCCGCCGACAGCGGCGGAGAT